TCACTCCATCAAGGTGATAAATCAAGGAACGTGATCAGTTTTATTACGCACCGATTCATATGCAGCACGTTGTCATATGTTCGTATCCATTGTACATGAGTGAACAATACAATATCAACAACTAGTGAGCATACTGAACTATGGGGAACAACGAAATGTGTTTCATTACTCATACATATGTTGCGTCACTCCTTCCTCCTTAGATGAATCATCGCAGTTGGCGAGTATCGAACACCGAATGGTGTTTCAGATTCTGAACATCTTGTATTTCGTAGGAAGCAAATCTAAGCAAGCTTGAGAACGCGGTTCATTTACTGGGCTATTTTTTCATACGAACTAGCAGTTTTTTGTTTTACCGAAAAAGGAATTAATTTGCTTTAAATTAAATTCTTCAACACATTTATTTTGCTTTTTTCTATTTGCCGAAAAGTAACGATGTGATTGTGCTCGGTATTCCACGCTGACTCCAAATTCCCAAATTAACTAGTATGTGGGAAATGAGCTGATTGCGAAGCAATCTACTGGCTGTAAATCATTTTTCTTTGTTGAGTGATTTCCAAAACTATATCTGACAAGTAAAGCTACAGTTACTTTCAGCCAATTTTTAGTACGTAGTCAACGAGTTTCACTGCGTAGTACTGTAGGTACGAGTTCTCTGAATGAGAAAACAGTGTGGACAAATTTAGCCACGTCTCTCGAATGATGTACGCACCGCCTAGTGATATCCTACACACTCGTGTGCTGTAATCTGTGCACCGTGTGACGTGTAGCTAGGTCGCTACTCGAGTCTCACTACTCGGTTGTAACTCGGCAATGTACTCCGAGGCACATGCTGCTGCTGTCTTGCCTCGGCGCTGCGATTGATCCGCCGAGTCGGTCACATGGAGCCCGACGCCGACGGCCGCATCGAGGGCCCGTCATCGGCCTCGTCGCCCGCGCGCCGGCCGCTGTTCTCGTTGATCTCTTCGCTCGCGCTCTCCGCACCTCTACGTGAGTATTGCGAGGCGGTGATCGTCAACGCGGACATGAAGTGCCAGTGTGTTTCTTAGTGCATTTCTAAAAGATAAATTGATAAGCCGAACATAACTTCCTGGTTCGCGGTAATAATCTCTATGCGAGAGATGCGATTTCTTAGTTCAAGAGCAGTTCGTCTTCACTGTAATTGCCATTTTATCTCTCTGTTATTTGCATCCAGATTTTAGGAGTTGTAATCCGTGAATCGTTAGAAGTTTTAGAGCAACATCTGATGCCTACACTGCTCGGAAAGAATGCGTAAGTGGATGTGTGAAAGACTTCGTTTATATTCAACAACATTCCATTACTCCTGTGGATAGTTGCTTGTTAAGCGTTATTTGGCAAAGTTCACATCGTGAAGTCCGAGAACTCGTATGGAACTATAATAACCTTCAACAATTTCCCGATCAGTAAGTATGATGCAACCCTTTCTCGCTTATCGGAACATTATTGCCACCTTTCCTGACATAATCCGCGCTTTGGTACTGTCATAAAATTTCGCTTTGCTTCCTTTGCAGTTGCTCAGACTCGTACTTGTTGAGCGACAATTTCGGCTACTTTACCGTAGCAAAGGTCAGATGGATGTCTCCCTATCTTCCTTGTAGCTTTCGTCCTATGTATTGCGCTAGAGTGCGCTGTATTCATTGCATGACCCATTTTTCCCATTCTGAAATACCATTTTATTGTTCAAATTGACATCTGGGATTCTCATTCCAGATGCATGAAATTTTTAGAGAACTTTACTTCGCTATAAACGATGTGAAACACTGGTAACTTAGGGAAACAATAAAGTAAATTGGCGCACCATCGTTTGTTTATAACGTTTCAGTTTGACTATGTTGCCATTCTTTTTTCTAAGCCAAACTTTGTGTATGTGCAGTTGCTTAGTGGTCACAACCGTGTCTTTGGCTCGTTTATCAAATGCACGTTTCCCTTTACCTTTGTCATATGAAGTTACATCTTCTAAAAATTCCATTCGAATTCACCCATGACTCTTCGTCACTCCGTAGGTTTTTTTGTTGCTTTTACTTTCTCCATCTCTTCCTGTCTCTCTCTCTGGCTCTTCTTATGAAATGTGCTTCTCTCGGTCGCTCTTGCTCCCTCCGCTCTGTCGTCTCAATCGGCCGCAGTTGAGAGTTCGTCCCTCCCCGCATCGACCGTATGTTTCAGCCCACGTTTTCTTCCTTTGCAACTCTGTAGTATTGGCTTTCTCATGCAACACTGCTCACACTTGTTCATATGCTCTCGTTTCCCATTGAATGCATGACAATATAGCATTCTCACACATCTCTGCACTAGAACTGCTGTCGTGATGTATCGAAGTTCACTCGGACCATTGGGTACACGTTAACACATTCTCGACGATGCTAATATTTCCGTAAATGCCTATAATTTTCCTGATAATAAGACCACAGGGGGCTTGAGGACTGGAAAAACTTGTAGAAGAGGATATATATATATATATATATATATATATATATAGGATATATATATACATATACATATATACATTGATAAGTGTTAATTCCATCATTTTTTGAAAACTGACCCTAACAATCGCGAATCCGTTTTTCGACTTTTCAATGTGCAAGCATGCTAGCCACGAGAATAAGCAGTGTGGGTAGAGTTTCCAAAATTCTGGTAGTTCATTCGGTTCGCTGCTCAAAACATAGTCCGATTGAAAAAAAGAAGTAAAGCGATTTGTAGGCTGCTCCAGATGCTCGGTGTGCTAGCATAAGGCGTCCATAGGCTCTAATGTGTTTTGTTTCAATGAATAGGATTTATTGTTTGCTGAAATACATTTGAAAGGCTGAGTAATTTTTGAAAACTTGTGCATGAACTTGGAATCGATCTATATTGCTATTGGTGTGATAAAATAAACTGACCATGTCAACGTCTCTACATGATTCTACGTCGGTCAGAGTGCTAGAACATTTGTCGCGTCGTTAATTCCGGCGAATCCGAAGTTTTCGGTGCTGACGGATGCTCGTGCTTGATAAGGTATTTTTGGAGGACATGAGGCATACCGTTGCTGTAATTTTTTTTCTCGCACTTCCTTTTCCGTGGAGACGTCTATTTCTGAGATGTCTATAACATTTATAACGATCATATGCAGCTTCTAAAATATGTTGTCGGCAACGCGGCCCTATTTCAGGTCAAATTCGTCGGTTGACAGCGTCGCCAGTCCACGGCCCAAGCATTTTTTCACAGAAGTCTTCACGTGTCTGTACCATGAATGACAGTATGTCTGTCAGAATGTATCAACGTACCACCAGCTAACTCATCGCTTCATTCATCCCTGTATTTCTTCGTCATCTCGCTTTTCGCTGTCGTCTGTTTGGCGAACTCATGTTCTCGATCTGTCTCATGATGTTTCATGTTCATCGAGTGTGCTTCTTCTTGCAGTGTTTCAATTTCGAGAATCTTTACGCATTTCCACCCAAAGTTACTGTTTTGCTTCTGATGGTTTCAACTGCTGCCAAGGGACAAGCCATTGTTATCATTCGTACTCTTCAACCATATGTCTTTATCTCCAAAGCTTTTGTTTGTCTGCACTATATTTAACCGTAAATTTTGTAGTATTCGAACTGGAAAAGTATCGGCATTATCTTCTATCCGTGCGCGACCTAAAAAAAACGGGTTTGGTGTTTCCAAATGTTTATTGTTTTTTTTTTCAAGAACTGGTCGTCGTAGTTCGCGCAACGCTTGTATGTGAGAGAACAACCGATACCACACGCTCTAACGTTCGCTGGTTCTCTGTTCGCTTACTTTCTCATTCTATTTTTCGAATAGGCCTGCGATTTCTACCACTTACGCTATTTTTCGGTGTACGAACTGCTTCTATGAAAGCAGTTTTTCGAAACACTGTCGTGTTCATTTGTTTTTTTAAAAGATGGTTCGCCATCATATACACGTATATACATATATATACACATGTATATACATATATACATATATATACATATATATATGTATATATATATATATATATATATATATATATATATATATATATATANATATATATATATATATATATATATATATATATATATATAGTTTAATACCAATTGTATAACATGGAGCAGAACTAGTCAATTTTTGGATTTTCACTCTATATTGCTTAATGTTCTAGAGTTTCGATCGTGAACACTTCGTTCACTGCACCTGTTGGGATCTAGATTCCGTAGGTTACTGCAGCGCAATTTGTTCTTGCCTTCCTCGTCGAATAACTCATTGTAACGCTACCCTAACTGTCGCTTGGTCACCAACGCAATGTTCATGCGTCACCGAACCTGTTCAGATTTCCAAGAAGCGTCTCGAATCTTTGTTGTTTGCCTAGGCAAAACCGGCACATGAGATCCATTAACGTTCATATCTTCATCGTTTCATTTCTTTTATTTATGCCATATTGTTTCCTATTGATATTCGTACAGTATGTTCGTACAACACGGTGTACCCATGAGTTCTGGGATATTCACCTTTTTAATGTCTATTTCTCGAAAGTGGAGCTGTCCAACTTCATCATCATGCATGATCTTTGCTTTGTGTTTCATTTGGTCTTTGCGAGCGCATTCTCTAGTGGCACCAAATGAGTACAATGCTTTTCCAGGCCTTTGTTTGCTTTGCAGCGCCATCTCGACGCTAGTTTGTGTCGCTTCTTCTTTATCTCATTCGCTGTTCGAATTTCTGTACAATTTTCTAGGGGACAAGCATATTTTCACCTGTTATGCGCATACTTCCCCTGTGATGTCAATTGCATGAACAAATCAGAGATCACTAGGCCAGCATGAAATCGTTGGTTAGGCTAGGCATTTTCGTAGATAACTACACTCAGCTCAAGGACGGCATGTTTCTGGAGTCAGTTTTTTTGCAGCGAAGGCTAACTATCTCCATGCGATATCCGGTTTTATTATCGTTGATCACTGTCCTACCTGCCAGATGAGATGCTTCTATCAAAATGCTGCTTTTTCATAACGAACAGCATGCCTGCTTTCGTACGTTTATATCCGTCCAGCAGCACCCATTACTACACTTGTGAAGAAGTATGTGAGTTAAGTCATCTTCCACATTGTGTGGTATATCTATGTTCTCTATTTTTGTGCGTTCTGTTCCCTTTTACCTATGATAGCGTGCTTTTGATCGTTTGTTGCTGTTTAGCCCTTTCGTGCTAGGGAACTCGTTTTTTGCTTTTCGTCCGAGTATTACATGTTTATGCAAGATAAGCCTTTGAATCTCTCAAATTAAAGGCGTGTTAATCAAGTTAAAGAAATACATAAGGTTTTCCTGGCTGTAGCTCTCATTCGAGACCTCTTAGAATCAGACTGGTCCAGGATGCATTCACTGGACAAACCCTTTCAATTTTTCGAGCTAAAAGTGCACCTGGAAGGGATATAATACATTTATTTGCTTCTTCTGAATAGATGTATTCTCACATTTTGTTGAAAGACTTCCTTAATTTATTTATAACAGGTAATTGTGTGCAATTTCAGATGGACTTCCTTCACACTACACCTGTGCTGCAGTTGTCGCAGTCGTCGTCGTCGAACGAGGAGACGATACAGTCGAATACTGAAACTCCGCGATTCGAGAGCATTGAGAGGCCATCGCTGTCCTATAAGGACCTCATCATCGAAGCCATAGAGAGCAGTCCCGATAAACGATTAAAGCTCAATGAGATATATCAGGTCAAGAATCTGTGCTTAAAGTTCTATTCGGACTAATTAGGACAAGCTAATATTGTAAGACTCAGTATTTTGCAACAAGAGAATGGAATTCGAGACGAATATTTCGATCCGCGTTCCAGCAACAAACGTCGTTTCTTGCGATATTATTATAGATATGAGTGCTACCCACCAAAAAGGTCACTGTTTGTCGTTGATGATTATGTTTATATTGTTGCCCTAATGGTGGTCATCACATTGTGGTGTTACTGCCATTAATGTGGTGTTTTGAAACGTTTGAACTGATATATGATCCGGCATGTATGGGAGGCTTTCGAGGTATGAATAGCATAAATCAATAAATCGTTGAATGTGCATATATATATATATATACATGTTTATATGTAAGCAATATTATATATATATACATATATATATATATATATATATATATATATATATATATATATATATATGAACCCAATGCTGATCGTCCACAATTGGGGTCTGGGCTGGCTAGATATTCTTTACCAGAAACATTTTGTGTGCTTCATGTGCAAATACAACGGCCGAATTTGATGGTATTCGAGGGTAAAGGATAAGAAAGCTGTGATGGATTGCTGCTACATGGCACAATTATGTATCGTTCCTGGACTGATGGGAAGCTGGGCGAGCGATGACGACAAAAAGCCGGGAAACACCATTTTTCAACTGGTGTATCCTAATCAGTGGAAGCGAAATTTTGTGAAACACTTTTTTCGCTTAATGCTTTCAATATAATCATGCGATGAGCATGTTCTAGTTTTCATATCACAAGAATGTTTAGGCAGTCGGACACGAATTTGGTGCTGAGCATTTCACTTGTTTTTTTTTTTTTGCCCAGCATAGCATCATATCCATAGCCTTTCCTTCTGACATGCATTTTTCTGTAAATGTCTTGAGCGTGCTAGTTATGAATTTTGTGTTCTTTCCTTGAAATACTCCAGATCCATGTTTTCATTAGATGTTGTGTAAAAGATCAGATTAGAAGTCCAGGAACAAGACCTTGTCCTATAAAATGTGCGTTTGTTTAGCTGGATATGTTCAGGTAATCCGTCTATTGCATCCTTATTATCGTCATCGACCAGATCAATGGGGTTGGCAAAACTCAATTCGCCACAATTTGTCACTCCACGACTGCTTCGTCAAATTACCACTGAAACAGACCTCTGCTAGCGGAGTTGTAGGTAAACTAATTCATAATTCTATCATCGACTTGATTCATTCAGTGAGAGGCTTTTTCTCTGAAATATTTAACAGAAAGTTTTGTGTCGTTATACATTTCACAACCACTCGTTCGCACTCTGAACATATCCCTACACTTTTTATTGGCTTGCTCTCGGGCCAGTTTTGTTTTGAATGGAATTTTATTTCTCGAAATTCTCCTTCCACTTAAACTAAGTATCTTCAGAATTCCGTGTTATTCATCAGAACGATATGACAAATTTTTATGTTCCATAAAAATCCGGTTGTGAATTGACACGTGAAAAGAACTTTCGAGAAGGTACCACGCTTCGTTTTTCCCACGTTTTTTGTGAGCAGTTGGTGGTTTAAAAGACTGGGTTTAAGTAAAAGCCTCATCATATATCTTTACAAAAAGGCGTTAGCCTCTGGAAGGGGTAATAACGAGTTCGATCCCTACCGCAGACAGCTGCGGTCCGAAGTTCCGCAAATATTTCAGCATTATTGTGGTTGCAGTTCACATCATACCTTGCCATAGAAAAGAATGGGCAGTAAGTGAAAAGTGATTGCATTATCTCTACGAATATGCTAGATAATGCCGCTCGCATGACATCATTTTCCCTTAGAGTTGCTCATTCATTCTTATCCGATTTATATTCTCCTATATCACATTGAAAATCATTCGAAGTGGTACAGTAGAGGTTCTCATCGCAGAATTAGCACATCCACTGTTTAAAATTTATTATTTTCTGTTTTAGGACATTTTTGGACCGTAATACCTGAGCTGAGCGATAAACAAACTCTTCGCCGACGTAACCGAGCTCCAAATCGAAGCGGTAATCGTACGAAAGCAGTTGATCCGTTAACAGATGTCGTGATGACACGAGAAGAAGCCGCTTCTTCTGGAAGCGGGGACACGTCTCCGAGCCCATCACGTCCTTCCATAAGTCCTCCAACTGATTTACCGAAACCGACAGCTAGTTATGGTGGCATAGAGAACATCTTGGGAGACAGTTACAAGGCGTATGGACAATCGTTGCTCAACGCTTATTTCTATCAACACGGTAGAGTACTCATTTTTGCGTTTCAGTGTTTGGAATGCCAAAGTAAAAGTGGACGAATCTGCTTAATAAGAATTTTCACCTAGTCGGCAAATACGTTAGTTTCCATCTTTTTCGAGCTCACTGCGTAATAGAAAACAGGGGTGAAGCAAGCCACTAAGGTATAGTCTCATATTTAACAGTTTCTATAGATGCTTCAACCTTCGTTGAAAAAACGCGCCAACTTTTCTTAAAGAGTCGACATCAATTTATCACATTGATTTTTTATCTACTTTAGTGCATGCTAATCAAGGTGAATGCTTTCAATGCTTTCAGGTCTTCTTAATTCACTTCAGCAACAATTGGTGGAATTAACTCAGGGCAATTTCTCGTCAGTAGTGATGAGTTCAAATCTGTTGTTAGCTCTCAGTCAGTTTTCTGGTCGTACTGCCACAGTCACATCAGGGCCGCATTTACCGACAACAGTGGCTACTGCATCTGCCTCACCAATAAAACAAGAGGCGCCTTTTCTTCTATGAATGTACTTATTGGGAACAAATTTACCATGGAGGTCTCCAGTCAATTGGTATTAGCAGATTGTTTGGTGCCTGTTAATAATGAAACACCACTTATGACTATGGAAGTTTATGGTCAGAGTTCCTGACTCACAGTTTCCACGAGTCGTTGGTTAGGTGTCGATTGAAACTAGAGAATGATACTGTTGTTACAAAGGTTGTGAGTTGTTGCTATTTTTTTAGCATGAAGTTGTTGTTGATCTCTTTTCCAGTCACTGATTCATAGTATTCTCTCATACAAATTGGAAATTCTGCAGTACCGCACATCATAATAGGGCAAGAAGTGGAATGCGTTGATTTTACTGTGAACACGGCGTCTATAACGAGCGTCGACAATACGGGGCTTGTAGCCGACAGATTCATGAAAACGTCTATATGAACAGATCGTAGTAGCTCAACAGTTTGAATGGTCACGGTGTGTTTCGTGCGTTTCTCGTTTTTCTCACGCTTTTCTTTAGTGTTTCTGAACAATGATAGGTCACGAAAACGTTAGTTATATGAAATGATTGAATTTTCAAGTTATCTCCACACATTTCGTTACTGGTTTCATTCGAGTGCATCGTTCGAAAATGCAATGAACGTTTGTTCCTCCCTTTCTTATCAATAAAGTTTCGCAGTCAGGTGGAGAAATGTGTTTGTGCACATCAGTGCAACAATAATTTGTACTACACCAACAATTGCATCTCTGCAAAGCGAGCAGCGAGTTTTTTCCTCGGAAATACTTGGAACCGATTCTCGTTATTTGAATTGTAGACATCTTTGTTTTCAACTGTCAGAACTTTCGTTCTGCAGTTGCTCTCATTTCATTTCAAAAATGGTTCCGCCCATTTGAAACCCCTCACAGCTTTCTTATTCTGGAATTCAGTCTGGAACGTACTGCGTTAATAATCGGATGTAAAAGTGATCTAATGCGACTTTCTAATGTTTTCTAAGCTGCAGAATACTAGAGAAATCTCGTAAGCATCTGAAATTAGGGTTAAATATCTGGATAGTACAATAATGCATCATTATTTTGAACGGCAAACGCCTCATTTAGGCTACACTACTAGAAATCTTTGAGAAGAAGAGTATCTGCTGTAAGTCAACATTGCATTACACGTATTCGCTGTGTCGGACTACTTATATTATTTCTTCATAAGAGCATTAATTAAAAAGGAACAGAAATATATGTCAAACGTCCCAATTCAGTCTAGTTTCACCCAAAGGATCGGAATTGATGACTGTGGATTAGACCTTGCTACTAGCTAGGAGCACCTATGCCAAGAGTAATGCTTCTTTCTCTGACAGTCGGCAACCATAATATCTATCGGAAACGATACCTTAGTTAGTTTCATTTAGCGGTGGGTGTCAAAGATCTCACGCTTTAGGATTCAGTTATATCATAGATTAGATAGTTAATGCCCCATGAAAACTTTTGTGAGGAAATATGTTTTAATTCATTATATACAAGAGTTGTTCGTACTGTTAGACTAACAAGGAAGTTCAATCGTCACAACACTGGCACTTCAACATAGAGGTTTATTCACAAATCTGCTTGAGTTTTACTACAAATCTTTATTGTGGCTAGTATTTCAGCTCCTTCGCATTCAAACTTTATAATGGCAATGGCAGTGTTCCTAGTGGCTTGTCTACAGCAGTTACGTATTACTGCGATATGTGTCCTCGCATTTGTCTGGCTCGAATTCAGTAGAATGGAACACTGTGTGAATGAAGTGACCTCATTTTACAGCGCCATTTTGTGCAGAACGGATCATGCGGCTGGAATAAACTGACATCGCCTAGTAGTACCCAACAAGGCAGGATCGAAGAAATAAATCAGAACATTGATTATCCATCCCGAGGGTAAATGGGACACGCTATTGAAGAATTTGCTCTGATACATATCAATTGTCATAAATCCTATCGCTGCAGCATGGATTGCCATCGCAAAACAAACGTTTTGTTGGAAATCAAGCGAAGACAGTCCTTTTTAGAAAGTCAATCCTGTGTGACAAAACTTCATTCGTATGGTGGTCAACTGCATTTGATTCAACTCGACACAGCGAATATGAAGACCCACATGGTATGAAGGAAGTGGAGTAGGAGCACAAATGATCGTAGCTCTTAGGAAGGAGAAACGACCGAGGTTTTATCCACAACAGAGTTTTGTAACATTCTAATTTATCAATACAACAAAACATTGGATATCAATGTCGAGGTGCAATGAAAGACTGTATTGAAAAAATAAGTATTTTAATATCTATCCAAGTTGTTCACATTGTTATAACTAGCATTACTGTCTATGTTTCATCTAGGGTTTACTACTTATTGAGGTTCAGTTCTAGCACAACATCCTAACAGTATCAAAAGTACGACCCTTTCTGACAAATGAGTAACATGAAGAGCCTAATTCGATTGTACACAAGCGGATTTGTTCGGAATTTAGATATCATTTCTACTGAAATGTCACACTATCGTAATTGCCACCAAAGACATATTTTTCGTCAGCTAATTCCTACTGTATCCACGTTAGATGAGATCTCACTCCGTTCGGTGGAACAATTACCTTGGTGAATGTTGCCCACGAGGCGTAGATGTGGATACTAAATACGAATACCAATGCTTCAAAGCCACACAAAATGGTTTTGTATTTTTATAATACAGAATTATGTTCGTAATTTTTTATATTTAAATATGTTTTTTATTACATTCAAACTTCCGATGCATTCACAAGTAAGTCCCTGTAGCAATTCCAGTAAAATGTGTTCGATGAAGAATTGACGACCGTGACAAATTGATCTATGGATGAAAAGAAAGGCATAAAAAAGAGACGAAGTGGGATAGAGAGATGTAAATGAGAGATGTCATCACGCCTTTCCAGCTACTTTTTTCCTTATTTCTTTAGAGTGAATGAAATAAATCGTCTGATTGCACACGCTTCCGTAGGTATCACGAATAGCAGTTGTAAAGCTAACAGGTTTCTGAAGGATTCAGGTCAAATTGTCAACTTGACAGTGAAATATGGCGTCTAGCGTACAACTAGGAATCGAGTGAATTCTTTATAATAATAACTCATGGTGGCAAATGCAACAATGAAACTTTTGTTTCCGGATGCACCATGATTAAGCATCGCAGAGAGAACAGGGTCGACTCAGAGTCATCTGAAATACTTTAGCTTCTTAATTCCTATGAACTTTCTTTGTTGAGCTAACGCGAGGTTGTTAGCACATACCGATGGATTTCTACGGTTGACGTTTCGGCGAATTCGCTTCCTTCAAAGTCTGCACGAGTTTTTTGCAGCTCTATTCTGGTAATTCGGTAAATTCTCTATAGAATTACTGATGGGCTAAAACACAGACAAAGTGGTAGTCCGAATACTCACCATTTCCATTTCTTAAGGAGTGAGAGCTACGGGTATGAGGCTCATGAAGGATGACAAGTGAAACTCACCCACTTCAAAAAACTCGCAGTCACGATTCCGATACAGGGATCAAGAATGTCAACAGGAAAACTACTACATTTTGGATAAAGGATAAAAGGATAAAGCTCTCGGCGTTGAACGATTCCTGAGGGATGTACCATGCATTCGACTTCACAATGCATTGTTAGAGATGATTGAATGCATATATATCATAGGGTCTGATGAAAACAAAGACGTCGAGACGTTAGCCAAATAAATTTACTTATCAATCTCGGGTAAGCTCAACAACTTAAGTACAAAGAAACTTGAACATTAACGCCGAAATTAACTGATGTCGGTGAATTATTATTTAAGTCTCGATAAAGGTCAATGGCTACATCGATAAAACAAAATGTAAATTTGCTCCGTGTTTGCTTTGAGAAGACATTTTATAGGAAAATTATGAAAAAAAACCATGGTGCTCCATCAAGAAGTACACAATAACAAAACAAAACAAAATGAAGGCCATTATCTAAATACAGTTTTCGTGTATACCTATTAGTGTCACTTCGATCAAGAGAAGATGAGCAAGTGGACCAAGAATACATGATATTGGATGGAAATCAGCCAGGAACTGCTTTGGATATAACATAAGGGCGCTGCTAGCTGAAGGCGCTCACAGTGCTCCACTGCGTTAAATAACCTGCAGATTTAGACCAAAGGAAGGTATAGGCGTTTCGAAACGTTGGCTTATTTCGGAATTTGAACAAAAAATTTAATAAATCAATAAATTGTGGAAATGTTCCATGCCTGTGGAGGCGCAATAGGATTCGCACCATCCCCAAATAGGAATTCACCATCTGAGGAGACCCTCAAGAACTCTCGTGGTCTACATTGAGATCGCTGAAGAACGCTGAAATAATTTTTTCATTTCCTGACATGGGTAGAATTGCTAATGTATAAGATTTTAAGGTAATTTATTCGTCTTTAGAATAAATGCAAATAGATTCCCGCAGTATGCAGTTTAACACCGTTTGGTCTACTAACCGACAATATATGTGTATATATAATGTTGTCAATTTTTATTTACTGCCCACTATCTTTTTTAATGGCAGGGTACTATGAGAAATATAACCACCACGTTATTGAGATA